CATTGCCACAAGCTAGACCAAGAATGTTGAGGTGGTCAAATGTGAGGTGGAGTACTCTGAAGATTCAAGTAGCCTTTGAAAGGCTTAAGTCTGCCGAGGTCAGCAATTTACTTCCTTATCTCATTGAATTTGTTTTTTTGACGTGTTTCATTATTTTTTACTCTATGTAATGTCTTGCAGGTTTTTTATAATTTTGTTGACATTTTAGATAGCGAGCATCATCTCTTAGGTTCTCCATTACAAGAACCATCTAGCCCCGAGCAACATCCCCCAGGAAAGGATGTTATATCCCAGCCACAGTCGCCCGCATTCATTGGTATTGCTGAGCCTATATTTTCTTATCGTACCAGTCCCTCACCAATAGACGAGAGGCATCAACATAGTGCCTCTAGTAGTGGATTTCAAGAAATCCATGAATTACTAAAGGAGCATCACACATTGTTCATGGAATTTCAAATCTCAGTGCTCAATCGGTTGACAGACCTAGAAAGTACAATGAAATAATTAAAATCAGAAGTTAAAGAGATTAATAAAGCTCTAAAATCACCCGTTGGGACATTACCAACTACATGGGTGCAACAGTCCCCGCTTGGGAGCCTATTTCATAGAATTAAGACAAGGAAGGGGAGAAAAAAAAGGGCTCTCAGTTCCCCATTTTTGGTATTTGAACGGAAGAAGAAGCAGAAAACAAGTCAAGAAGTCACTGAAAAGAATGAAGAGGTACAACACTTGTACATAAGCATTATACTTAGTAGTTCTTCCTTACTAACTTAACTAACAATATTTCTTATTTAACAGATTGCTCATGTACATACAGGTGAAGTAAATAAATTTGATCAGCAAGCCATAACTGAAGAAACTCTGCAAACACCACCAGTAGATAAACACAGCGATCAAGAACATTATGATCTGCATTATGTTCCTGAAGACTACCCTGATAAGGTTTAAAACACAGAGTTTAATTGTCCAAATTGAATGCTTCAATATATCCATCTTACAATGTTTGTGTATTGCTTGTAGGTATGTCCAGCCCAACTTACGGTCGATTTTCCGGCCAGAAATCAAATTTCAGATTATATGAGGGAAGCAATCGATATTTGTTGTAATAAATTCACGGACATGTAAGTTAAAAAATTTCACTAATTGATTATCTTTCACTCTTGTGCTTATTAAATATTTGGAATGCAGGGGTGACTTAATAATTGACATGGGACATATATCGTTAACCCGA